GGCAGTCTTTGTTGATAATCTCTGTATTGAACTGCTGAGAGAAAAGAGAGAGATCAAAGACAATCTTAATCAGTTGCTATTGAGATTTTAAGATTCACAGTTTGATCTCACTTGCTTTACTCAATATTTTTTGCTGAAGTCTCCATAATTATTTTTTTTTTTGAGGAAAAGACATTGATGCTCTTCTTTTTACATCTAAAATTCAAACAGGACTTAAACTTAGTTCTGAGTGTCTCCTTGTCTGAATGCAGAAATCCTTGGGACGTTGTAGGTAAAACGGAGGGCTGGATGCCCATTTCTCACATGCAGAAGAGCGAGGGGAAAAAACACCTCTTATTTTGTCTTTATTGTAGAAATGCAATACATAATTAGGAAAGAGTCATGCTCTATTAGGGATGTTGCTACATTTAATTAAAAGCTAAGAGAATGTAGTATTTATTTCACAATGGAAACTAGTGATTTTATGATACTTTAACTAGTTTAGGTCAACTTGAAAATAATGGAAGACTGATAAAGGAAACAGTAATTTCTGTCTCTCTAGAGCTATTCAATTTTTCTACTTCACTCTTCAAATATATCTCCAATAAATGATGGCTTAACATACCAGAAGTAAAGCTGTGCCTTCAGTGGACTTAGGTTATTCATTACATTGTTATTATTGAGCACTTACTAAAAGCCGGGTGATACGTTAAACTTTTTTTCAGTTTTTTTAATTGAAGTATAGTGTATGTACAATGTTGTATTAGTTTCTCGTGTACAGCATAGTGATTCACTCATATATACACATATTCTTTTTCACTATAGGTTATTACAAGATATTAAATGTAGTTCCCTGTGCTATACAGTAGGACCTTGTTGTTTATCTATTTTAAATTTAGTAGTTTGTATCTGCTAATCCCAACTCCTAATTTATTCCTACCCCACATTTCCCCTTTGGTAACCACAAGTTTGTTTTCTGTCTCTGAGTCTGTCTCTGTTTTGTAAATAAGTTTGTTCTTCCTTTCTTTCTTTCTTTCTTTCTTTCTTTCTTTCTTTCTTTCTTTCTTTCTTTCTTTCTTTCTCTTTGTTTCTTTTTCTTTGTTTCTTTCTTTTTTTTAGATTCTACATATAAGTGATATTGTATGATATTTTTTCTCTTTCTGGCTTACTTCACTTAGAAAGATGATCTCTAGTTCCATCCATGTTGCTGCAAATGGCATATTTCCTTTTTATGGCTGAGTAGTATCCCATTGTGTATG